CAAGACCAAAAGCATGTCATCTGCAACAAAAAGATGGAACTACATGTCATCTTATTTAAGGATATAAGCCAGGGTTAGGAAGACGAAAACTACTTGCTTCATATCGGGAAATCCAGGCTTTTTAATTTCACAGCTGCACATTCTAATGGAATCTTGTATTGATCATCAGCTTTCACTGATTGGAAGCTAGATTTTTAAGACAGAAAATTAGAAGAAAGCTACTTGGAATCTAGAGAAAGGGGGCCGTGGGGCGGGAATGGGTGAATACATGACTCGCACACCCGAATCCGTTAATGAAACCCATTATGATGCATAATTAACACATTCCCGTTTACAAAGACAAAATGGGAGCTGAGGGTTGGCTGGAAAAGATATGGAGAGAAAGAATTCTTGAGGACTGTTGCTGGGTGCAGGTTAGTACAGATATTATGAAAAAATGGTACGAAGCTTCTCAGGCGCTGGCGCTCACGCCTGTCATTCCAGCTACTCAGGAGGCTGAGATCTGAGCATTGTGGTTCAAAGCCAGCCTGGACAGGAAAAAGTCCATGAGACTCTTCCCTCCAATTCACCACCAAAAAAGCCAGAAGTGAAGCTATGGCTCAAGTAGTAGAGGACGAGGCTTAAGCAGGAGAAAAAAAAAAACAAAAAAAGCTAAAAGACAGTGTGCAGGCCTTGGCGCACACCGACTGTAGTATCAGCACAGAAAGAAAAAAAATGTGACTGTGGGGACAGCAAAACAAGCTCCTCACAAAGGTGAGGCTGAGACTGAAATGAACTGGTCCCGCTGCCCCGGGAAGGGCTGCTTCCCCAGGGTGGGGGCAGGGGCCTGCAGGGCTGGGTGCCCGCCCAAAGCCACCTCCCGCCCAGGCTCCCCCCCTCCGCAGCCCTGGCTCCGCACAGGTGCACAGCCATTCCTCTGGAGAAGGCAGGAATTCCTTGGAGTCCTTGAAGCCACCGCCGGTCCTTTGGTCCCAAGCTGCTCACACAAAGCAGGGTCCTAAGCCCTGCTGCCTGGTTCTTGCGATCCAGCCTAGATAATGACCAAAAGAAAACAAGCAGGAAAGGGCCACACGGGGGTCACGCCGCCACCCAGGGCCCGGGCAGGGCGGCGCCCAGCCGGAGCAGGGTGAGGCCAGGCCTCCGCCCCTCGGGGGCCAGAGGGGGGCTCTGGGGACTCCGACCAGCTAGTGCCTTCTGACTGAGGAGGAAACCATTCCTTTCACACCTGGGGCGGATGGGTGCAGGTTACGGAGGATCAGGGTACCAAGGATCAGGGGGCATGCTGGGAAAGCTGCCCGCTCAGATCTGCTGGGGGACCCGAGCTGGGCTGTTTTTCAAGACAGGATCTTGCTGCTTGACTTCAAACTCTCAGCCTTCCCCCTCATCCCCTGGGTTTGGTGCCAGACAGCCCGACGGACACCCGAGGTTCCTGAGAGCTCAGGACTGTGTTTCCAGATGCAACGGATCTAAAATCTTCCTTTCCTTAGTTTTGTTGTATTGTCCTGGGCTGCCCTCGGGTCCCTGGTGCTGTCCCTGAGCCTTCCACTCACACACGCAGCCTACACCGGCAGCTTTGGGGTTAATGGGAGGTGAGTCTCCAGGACTTTTTCCTGCCAAGGCCGCTTAGGGCTGCAGCCCTCAGTGCCCAGCCACAGTCTGGAGCCTCCTTTGCTCTGAAAACGGTTGTCAGGGGTGTGGTCCAAGTGGCAGAAGGGCTGCTTAGCCAGTGGGGTGCCCGCAATTCAAACCTCAGTACCCCAAAACCTGTGCTTGAAATGGACACCTACGTATGCACACACGGGCACACCAAGCTTCCGTTTCTCCAGAGCAAGTGCCGCTTCTCTCCATGCTGGCAGCCTTCTGGAAGGGGCCTTCCTCCTGCCTGGCCAGGTGTTCAGCCGGATGGGGCCTGGCCCGGTACCCTGCTCCCTCGCTGGCTCTAGCCAGTGTGGGCTGCCCGCGTCCCTCCCGCTGCCCATGCCCCCCTCCACATTTCCCCCCTCCGCTGCCCGCGTCCCTCCCGCTGCCCGTGTCCCTCCCGCTGCCCGTGTCCCTCCCGCTGCCCGCATCCCCCCTCCACATTTCCCCCCTCCCGCTGCCCATGCCCCCCTGCTGCCCGTGTCCCCCTCCACATTTCCCCCCTCCGCTGCCCGTGTCCCCCCTCCCGCTGCCCGTGTCCCCCCTCCGCTGCCCGTGTCCCCCCTCCGCTGCCCTTGTCCCCCCTCCCGCTGCCCGCGTCCCCCCTCCACTGCCCACGTCCCCCCTCCGCTGCCCGCATCCCTCCCGCTGCCCGTGTCCCCCTCCGCTGCCCGCGTCCCTCCCGCTGCCCATGTCCCCCCCTCCGCTGCCCACGTCCCCCCCTCCCGCTGCCCACGTCCCCCCTCCGCTGCCCGCGTCCCTCCCGCTGCCCATGTCCCACTGCTCGTGTCCCCGACACCTCCAGGCTCCCTTGTGGAGCCCAGGCCTTCTCGGAAATGGGGTGCCCGCTCCTAGGAGGCACAGCAAGAGGGGGACAGGGAGGGCGGGAGGGCGGGAGGGCGGGAGAGGGGAGGCAGCGGAGGGAGGACCGCTTGGCCGGGAGTGGAGGCCAGCTCTGCCCCACGTCTTCCCCGAGGGCCGAGGTCAGCCGCGGCCTCGAGTCCCGCCTTGGCTCTGGGCTCTGGGGACAGTGGGGCCCCGCGTCCAACGCATGTTTGGGGTCTGGGGCGACCTCCAACCCTCCGTGTCACACCTGGCCGCAGGCTGCAGGCCGGACGTGGGCTCACCTGCTTCGCGCGGGGCAGGGAGGAGGAGGAGGAGGAAGCCGGGGCCAGGAGGGGGGGCAGGGTGGGCGAGGAGGGCGCGGGGGACCCAGGAGGGCGCGGGGGGGACGGAGGAGGACGCGAGGGACAGAGGAGGGCGCGGGGGACGGAGGAGGGCGCGGGGCGGGCGGGGAGGGCGCGGGGGGGGGACGGAGGGGGGCGCGGGGGACGGAGGAGGGCGCGAGGGACGGAGGAGGGCGCGGGGCGGGCGGGGAGGGCGCGGGGGGGGGACGGAGGAGGGCGCGGGGGACGGAGGAGGGCGCGAGGGACGGAGGAGGGCGCGGGGCGGGCGGGGAGGGCGCGGGGGGGGGACGGAGGAGGGCGCGGGGCGGGCGGGGAGGGCGCGGGGGGGGGGGGACGGAGGAGGGCGCGGGGGACGGAGGAGGGCGCGGGGGACGGAGGAGGGCGCGGGGCGGGCGGGGAGGGACGGGGGACACAGGAGGGCGCGGGGGGACGGAGGAGGGCGCGGGGGACGGAGGAGGGCGCGGGGACGGAGGAGGGCGCGGGGGACGGAGGAGGGCGCGGGGGACGGAGGAGGGCGCGGGGCGGGCGGGGAGGGCGCGGGGGGGGGGACGGAGGAGGGCGCGGGGGACGGAGGAGGGCGCGGGGGACGGAGGAGGGCGCGGGGGGGACGCAGGAGGGCGCGGGGACGGAGGAGGGCGCGGGGGACGGAGGAGGGCGCGGGGACGCAGGAGGGCGCGGGGACGCAGGAGGGCGCGGGGGGACGGAGGAGGGCGCGGGGCGGGCGGGGAGGGCGCGGGGGGGACGCAGGAGGGCGCGGGGGACGGAGGAGGGCGCGGGGAACGGAGGAGGGCGCGGGGACGCAGGAGGGCGCGGGGACGCAGGAGGGCGCGGGGGACGGAGGAGGGCGCGGGGACGCAGGAGGGCGCGGGGGGACGCAGGAGGGCGCGGGGACGCAGGAGGGCGCGGGGACGCAGGAGGGCGCGGGGGGACGGAGGAGGGCGCGGGGACGCAGGAGGGCGCGGGGCGGTTAGGGAGGGAGCGCGCGCCCGGGGCGGTGGGCACGCGCGCGCCCGCGCAGCCTCTCTGGGAACGAAGCCGGCGCTTAAAATACGGCCAGGTCGATAGCGGTAATTAATTGGAAATGAGGAACGAGCTCCATTAGACGGGGCGAGAATCATTTTCTAATTTAACAGAGGACGTTCGTGAGGACCGCGAGCCCGAGGCGTCCACGGTGCCAGCCGCCGGGCCCGGCCTCCCCGCCCGGGCCTCGCGCCCCGAGGCCCCCGGCCCGCCTGGCCGCTCAGGCCTCCCCGCCGCGGCCTCCCCGCCCCGACCTCCCCGCCCGGGCCTCCCCGCCGCGGCCTCCCCGCCCGGGCCTCGCGCCCCGAGGCCCCCGGCCCGCCTGGCCGCTCAGGCCTCCCCGCCGCGACCTCCCCGCCCGGGCCTCGCACCCCGAGGCCCCCGGCCCGCCTGGCCGCTCAGGCCTCCCCGCCGCGGCCTCCCCGCCCGGGCCTCGCCCCCGAGGCCCCCGGCCCGCCCGGCCGCCCCCGGCCCGCAGCCCCATTACTACGAAATTGCTAATTGGAAAATGAAACTGTCAGTAAAGCGTCCCGCGAAGACAGCACCTTAAATACCAGGGTGTTTTATTAGCCCCATTTCCTAACAATAATTTATTGCAATAAAACAGACACTGCGGGCCCCGAAATTGTCTTTTCATAATGAATAAATTCGGGCGGCTAATTAATATATAAACCGGCCCGATTTGTCACGGTGATTTGTATTTTAGTTAATTGTGAAAGTAATTACCCCGCGGTCAAGCGAACAGCTTTCTGGAAATGACCAGGCCTGAGGTTTTATTTCCTTCCTGGGGAAGAAAATTCATTTCTCCGAGCTCTCGGCGGGATGAATAAAAGTCATAAATCTGGGTGATCGGCGCGGGCAGAGTCTAAATGGCTCCATATTTCATTTTAGGTTTAATAGAAATATTCATGCTCTGTTTTAATGAAATTAAATTGAGGGGGGGATGGGCCGGGCTGAAAGCGGCGGCGCGCTCCCGCGGGGGAGGGGGAGGGGGAGGGAGGGGCGGGGAGGGGGAGGGGGAGGGCGCCCCGCCCCGCCCGGCGCGGGCCCGGCCTCCCCTCCCCGGCCCCGGCCTCAGCCCCGGCCTCTCCTCCCCGGCCCCGGCCTCAGCCCCGGCCTCTCCTCCCCGGCCCGGCCTCTCCTCTCCGCCCGCAGCTCCGGGGACCCGGCTGAGGCCGCCGCCCGCCGACCCCGTCGCCCCCTCGCGGAGCCCATCGGCGACCTGCCCGCGTCCCGGAGCCCAGACGGCCTGGACGGCACGGACCGAACGAATCCGCTCTCCCGGGGGCCGGTTCGGGCGCGGGGCGGCGGCGACGCCCGCCGGGTCCCCCGGTCCGCGGCCGGCCCAGCGCGGAGCGCGGAGGAACTGCGTCCGCGGGCGCTCGACGTGAGCGGCCGCCCCGCGCCGCCGCCCCGCCCGCCCAGCGCCGGGACCTCCGCAGGATGGAGGCCTGGAGGCCGCCTTGCACACGCGCGCACGCACACGCGTCCCAGGTCCCCCCGTGCGCAAACACGCGTCCCCCCTCCCCGTACAAACACACGCGTCCCCCCACCCCCGTGCGCACACACGCGTCCCCCCTCCCCGTGCGCACACACGCGTCCCAGCCCACCCCGTGCGCACACGCGTCCCCCCCTCCCCCGTGCGCACACACGCGTCCCCCCACCCCCGTGCGCACACACGCGTCCCCCCTCCCCGTGCGCACACACGCGTCCCAGCCCACCCCGTGCGCACACGCGTCCCCCCTCCCCCGTGCGCACACGCGTCCCAGCCCACCCCCGTGCGCACACGCGTCCCAGCCCACCCCCGCGCGCACACGCGTCCCCCCAGCCCCGTGCGCACACGCGTCCCAGCCCACCCCCGTGCGCACACGCGTCCCCCCAGCCCCGTGCGCACACACGCGTCCGTCCCCCCTCCAGTGCGCCAAGGCCGAGGCCCGGCCGGGAAACCTGGCCGCCCTCCCCTGCCGCCCTCCCTGGCTCCGGCCCCACCGTCCCTCACTAGCTCTAGCCCGGCCCGTCCGCACGGCCCCTCCCAGACTCCTGTCGCCCGCACGGTCGCTCCCCGGCTCCGGCCGTCCCCACCGTCCCTCCCGGGCTCCGGCCGTCCCCACCGTCCGTCCAGGCCGGGGCGGCCGCTCCCCCGGCGCCTCCCGAGTCCAGATGTCCCCAGTGGGCCACCTGTTCCGCGGGGTAATTATTTTAATGGAGGGGGCCCGAGTCACGGGTTCGCGCCCCCAGCGGCGACAGCTGCGGCAGCTCGGCCTCTCAACGGGATTTCCCAGATGGGCCGCAAGGCCGTCGCCAAAGCCCTTAACGACTTCATTAGCCAAATTATCCCGCCCGGAGCGCCGGGCCGGAGACCAGAGGGGAGGGGCCGTCCTCCTCCCCGCTCCCATTGAGGGGGCAGGAGAGGCGAGCCCGGCCCGGGGAAGAAAACACCTTAGAGAAGGGGGGACAGCTCCCGCGGGGAGGGGGGACAGCTCCCGCGGGGAGGGGGGACAGCTCCCGCGGGGAGGGGGCTCCATCATGCTAGCACCCTGCCCATACAACCCAGAGCCATCAAGAGCCACGTGAGGAAATTCTTCTTATGCAAAAGGAAGTGATCCCATGTGTGTGATGGGTCGGGTTGTGAGGGAATGCGCGATGGCAGCCCTGAGTTCCCACTGCTGCGTGGGAAGGTTGGATGGAGCAGCAGAGATGTGGCGCTCTGGCAGAAGAGGAGGCCAGAGTCTGCTTTCAATATAACGTCTTCCCTACGCCCATGAGCACCTGCACGTGCACACTACGGGAGCCCAGTTAGGGCTCTCGTTCTTCCCAGTGTGGGGTGGTCAGTGAATTCCTGCAAGGTCAGCCTTCTGCTGCACTCCAGGCCTGAACAACTAGAAAACACTGGTGGTGGAGGTGGTGGTGGTGGAGGAGGTGGTGGTGGAGGTGGTGGTGGAGGTGGTGGTGGAGGTGGAGGGGGTGGTGGTGGAGGGGGTGGTGGTGGAGGTGGTGGTGGTGGTGATGGTGGTGGTGGAGGAGGTGGTGGTGGTGGTGGAGGAGGTGGTGGTGGTGATGGTGGTGGTGGAGGAGGTGGTGGTGGTGGTGGAGGTGGTGGTGGTGGTGGAGGGGGTGGTGGTGGAGGGGGTGGTGGTGGAGGTGGTGGTGGAGGTGGTGGTGGTGGTGGAGGTGGTGGTGGAGGAGGTGGTGGTGGAGGTGGTGGTGGTGGTGGTGGTGGTGGTGGAGGTGGTGGTGGTGTGTGTGTCTAGGTGGGGGTGTCAGGCAAGGTGTCACACGCCTGGGATTCCAGGGCTCATGAGGCTGAGGCAGGAAGATTGAGAGTTGGAGGTTAGCTTGGGCTACTAGCAAGAACCTCTCGGTCCCTGTCTCTGTCCCTGTCCCTGTCTCTGCCCCTGTCTCTGTCTCTGTCCCTGTCCCTGTCCCTGTCCCTGTCTCTGTCTCTGTCCCTGTCTCTGTCCCTGTCTCTGTCTCTGTCCCTGTCTCTGTCTCTGTCCCTGTCCCTGTCTCTGTCTCTGTCCCTGTCCCTGTCCCTGTCTCTGTCTCTGTCCCTGTCTCTGCCCCTGTCTCTGTCTCTGCCTCTCTAACTTGGGGCATGGTAACGTGCCTGTCTAGCAAGAGGCTCTGAGATCAAATTCCAGTACCACTGAAAGAAAAACAACCGTGGAAAGGAGGATGCCCTTGAGGTGGGTGGGCTGTGGGAGGGGCCTGGGCGGCCTGGCCGGGGCCTGCTGGCAGAGGCCCCTCCTGGACCTTATGGGCTTCCCCAGGGTCCTTCCTTGAACCCAGAAAGCGCGCCCCGGGAAGAGGCACTGATAGGTGGGACCTTGAACTTGAGGGAATTCCCGGTCGCCACTCGGACCCCGCCCCCCTGCTGCTTCGGCTCAGCTTCCGCCACCTCAGCAAGTGGTGAGCAGAGCGGTTGGCCAGGACTTCCTGCCATTATCTGACGCGGTTTGGACATTAGTGCGCTGCGACTCACCACCATTTCGAGTCACTCACTGCAGCATTAAACTGTTTATCTTTCCCTGCGTGCTCCTGCCGGGCGGCCTGGCCGCCGGTCCCTGTGGCAGGCAGGCCGGGCGGGGTCACCTCTTGCGACATTGTTTGGAGCCCAGCTCTGTGTCCTGGGTTCCCAGGTGGCGGTGGGCCGGTTAGGGAGGTGTGCTTGCCCACTCTCTCGCTCACTCTCGGGCTGAGCAGTGGAAATGAACAGCAGAAGCCTTCGCAGACCAAGTGGAGAGTGAAGCGCATTTTAGGTGTCAGACAGGAAGCCAGCTCTTCAAAGTGCAGCCATTGTTCCTGTCTTCAGCTGCAGGACCCCCTACCGGACACCCATCGTGCGGGGCACGGGGGGCTGGGGTGCTCAAGGCCCCTTGGCTCCCAGGCCATGGTAGTCTGATGAGGCCCCCGGTTCTTCATGACAGCCATAGTCCAGACTCTGTGCAGACCCACTGCAAATGAAATCCTGCAGCACACACAGGCCATTCCTGAGAAATCCTTCATTTCTGCCTAGGGCACCGCATCGAAGCTCCGGGAGCCCCCCACCACGGCCGCTGGCTGTGTGTGACCCGGAGCCTCTGGGTGTGTAGCTGCCCTTGGAGCCGGGTGGGCTCTCCCCACTCCTGGAAGTGCTCCCCACAGCTGGAGGGCTCTGGGGACACTGCCCACACTCCTGGCACAAAGCAGAGAGCCAGGAACAGTTTAAAGAAAAACAAAAACAAAGGCCCAGTGATTGCTGGGGGGCGGTGCTTTGTGCAATGCAGCCCCCCAAGTGTGTGCTGGGGTTCCAGCTGGGCCCAGATGCTACCAGCTGGCTGGGTAGGGTCAGGGGTGAGCACTCTCGTTAAAGAGGTGGGTGGCAAGCATCCTAGCTACTCAGGAGATTGAGATCTGAGGATCGGGGACAGAGCCAGCCCCGGCAGGAACATCCTGAGACTCTTACTTCCCATTGGTCACCAAAAAGCCAGGAGTGGAGGTGGAGCTTGAGCCAAAAGCTCAGGGACAGCACCTAGGCCCTGAATCCAAGCCCCTCCCCCCCACCTGCACACACACCTGCACAGAGAGTGACAGGAAACGCAGGCATGAGAAATCCAGAAGGTCAGCCCTGGCAGAAGTCACCCACCAGGGGTCAAGGAGGAGCCGGAGAGCGGAGGATGGGTGCTGACCAGGGAGCCCTCTGGGCTCCACAGGGCTGTGGTGTGGGCTGAAGTGTTTAGTGCCCTTTTCCCTGAGCTGGCCTTCCACCAACCCCAGGCCCTCCCAGCCCCCCCCCCCAGCCTGGGTCTGCAGTGCCCCAGGAAGTTTAGGTGCCTCTCCTGCAGCCCAGTGCTGAGCCCTCATCTCTGTAGGAACCTGGAGAGCGCAAGCTGAACTTGAACTGAGCTGATCCCCAGGAACTGTCCAAAGGATAGCTAGGCCATAAGCTTCTGGAAGCCTCTCTGAGGGAAAAGTGGCAGGTGCAGAGAGGAAAAGCTGCCTTCTCCCCAGTCCTGAGCCACACAGGGGCAGGGCTGTGCAGGGGCTCCCTTACACGTGCTACGCGGCAGGCACCCACGGGGGAGAGGTGTACAATGACCAGGAGGCCACCTGCCTGTCCTCTGTGACCTGGTGTGGTTTGAAGTCCTCACAGCTCCCAGCTTCACGGGTAATTCCAGCTGAACATAACATAGATGGCAGCAGTTTATTCTGGATTTTGTATGAGTTGCTATTCTAAGAACTGGGAGTCTTCCCCATGACAGTACTCAACTCCACACAAGGCCTCCAAAGGGACCCGCGATTAGAGGGCTCCAGGACTTTCCTCCCTGCTCCTCTCCCACACTGAATCCATTCCTGGAGTTTCTGGAGAGAGGAGCAACCTGGAGGTGCAGTGTTTGGAGTCCCACTCCCCCAGACCTTTGATCTCTGTCCAGCTCTCCCGGAGGCCCCCCCTGCTGCCCCCCATGCCCTCTGGGCTGGGTCAATACAGACACCGGGACTGGACCGGAAGAGACCTAGAAGGCTCACTTCACACATCATAAACTGCACAAAGACCCCATCCCTCAGATAGTCCCTCCCTACCCACCCACCTCTCTCTAGACAATTGGCAGAGCGCCTCCCACACCTGTTCACTTACCGCCAACAGAAATGGAGCATTTGGTACTGTGTAAGTCACCTGGCTGCGTGCAGTCCAACAGGACAGCAAACCCACCGAGTGCAGGAACTGCAAAGCTGGCCTGCATTCGGCCGGCCCAGGCACGCGGCAGACCTGGGGCTGACAGCTGGTGGGGGGCGGGCGGAGGAGGGAGTGCACGGGGCCTGCACGCTGCAGAACGAGGGGGTGTGGTGAACTCCCCGGGGAGTTGTGGGAACTCCTGAGACAGTTGTGCTGAGGGAAAGAGGGCCATGCCCGTCTGGACTGTGTACTCCTCCCTCTACTAAAACACCTGCAGTCCATAGACAGCAATGGGTTATTTGAGGCACATTCTGGGGATTTCATTGGCAGCCCCTCCCTTCCGCTTTTTAACTCATTCCCCTTGGGAAGGAGCAACCTACCCCCCAGTGGGGGGATGGGGTGAGACTGTGGGTGAGCTGGAGTAAAGGCTCCGAGCAGCCCCGCCCCTGGAGAGAGAGGCCATGCTCCAGCCCCACGCTGACCAGGACCGCTGACCAGGACCCGAACAGGTGGCTGACAATTCCTGGGCTGCTTCACCACCCCTCCCTCCCCCAAGGACCCGGGAAGACACCCGAGCCGTTGGACACAGTCTCCTGGGATAGGGCAGGGGGAAGATCCACCCCCAGCTCTGAGGCTTCCCTGTGGGCTGAGGACCAGCCAAAAGTCCCTCCAGCATCACCGTGACCGTTAGGAAGATGAGTACCCGGTAGGTACTCCGTGCGTGCTGGAGGAATACCAGGCCCTGCCACTCAGAGGCTGGCTGAGCTCTTCTCTTCCACACACACACCGTGATTTCCGTCCACTAGCCGTTAACTTTCCCAACGCAGAATAACATGATTTCCAAGCCTTACAGTACCACAGCCAGTGCCGTGGACCTCAGCGTGTCCCTCTGTCACAAGAGGAAGAAATCCTACAAACGCCAGCCCAGCGCTGTCTCAAGCCCCACCTGGGTGAGGGGCCTTTTGAGGAGAAATTGTGTGGTCGTACATCGACCTTTGAAATCCCCTCTCCCAATAACCTGGCCTGCGGCCTCTGATGAAGTTTTCCTGGCACCCATTTTCTCTTGGGTCTGCGGCCCTGGACCCTCCTGTGCTTTGCTTGCCTCTCACCGGCACCAGAACCTTGCTGCACTCACCTGAAACTCGCTCCTTCCCTCCCAGACTGTGTGGGGAGATAACCAGTCTAACGGAGCTGTGATCCAGCCTGGCCTCCTGACCTGCCTAGGAAAAGCTCAGGAAAAGCTCAGAAATGCTTTTACTGTAAATATTTGGTGTGTGTGTCTCTGTGTGTGTGTGTGTGCGTGTGCACGCGCTCACGGAGGCTAAAGCCTCCGGACCTTGCCAGCCTTCCCTCTGCGTGTATGTGTCTGTCTGTCTGTCTCTGTGTGTGCGCCTGCGCGCAGGGGGCTAAAGCCTCCCGACCTCGCCAGCCCTCCCCCTGTGTATGTGGGGGGGCTCTGTGTGTCTGTCTGTCTCTCTGTGAGCGCACGCGCGCTCCTCACCTCCTCACCTCTCCATCCCTCCCTCTGTGTCTGTGTGTCTGTGTGTCTGTCTCTGGCGCGCGGGCGCCCGTCGGGGGCTAAAGCCTCCGGACCTCGCCAGCCCTCTCCCCGGTGCTCCCGGGGACGGCCGGCAGCAGGAGGCGGGACCCGCGTTTCCCTCCCCGAGGACCGAGGACCCGAGGGCCGGCATGCCCGCGGCTGGCGCTGCCCGGCACCAGCAGCTTTGTCTTTGCGGCCCGGCGGACGGCGCGTGAGCGACCCGCGGCCCGGCGAAGGCCGAGTCCGCGCGGGGCTCCTCTGGGCGCAGGGCCCTCCGCGCGGCCCGGGCCCGTGGTCTTCGGGGGTGGCCGCCGCTCAGCGGCTCAGCCCGGCCGGGGCCCGGCCTGGGCGGCCCGGGACGCGGAACCTCCCGGCTCCCCCGGCCCACGGCGCCCGGGCGCGGGGGCGCGGGAGGCCGCGGAGCGCCCACGGAGGCCGGGGCTGCGGCTGCGGTCCCCGCCCCGCCCGGGCGGCCCGGCCCGCCGCGCAGCTTAGGACCCGGCGGCGCAGGGGCGGGGCGGCGGGCGGCCGGGCGGGGACAGGGGCGGCCCTCGGCCAATCGCGGGCCGCAGGCCCCGCCCCCGGCCCCCCGCCGCGCGCGCCAATCGGGAGCCGCGCTGCGCTTCAAGTGCGCGGAGGGGCGCGGGTCGCCCGGGCGCTCGCGGGGAGTCGAGCGGGCGAGCGCGAGCGCGAGTGGCCGGCCGGGGCCGCACGGCGGGGGCGCACGGGCCCTGGCGGCCCTGGGCTGAGCTTCCCGCGGCGACTCCGGCCGCCAGCGGCCGCCGCGCCCGCGCCCCTCCGCGCCCATGGAAAAGTCCAAAAATTTCCGCATCGACGCCCTGCTGGCGGTGGACCCCCCGCGGGCCGCCCCGGCCCAGAGCGCGCCGCTGGCCCTGGTGGCCTCGCTGGCGGCCGGCGCGGGCGGCGGCTCCGGCGCGGGTCCGGGCGGCGCGAGCGGCGGCGCGAGCGGGAGCTGCAGCCCCGCGCCCCCCGAGCCGCCCGCGGCGCCCGCCGACCGCCTGCGGGCCGAGAGCCCGTCGCCCCCGCGCCTGCTGGCCGCGCACTGCGCGCTGCTGCCCAAGCCGGGCTTCCTGGGCGCGGGCGGCGCGGGCGGTGCGGGCGGAGGGCCGGGGGCCCCGCATCCCCACGCGCACCCCGGGGCCGCGGCCGCCGTCGCCGCCGCCGCCGCCGCCGCCGCCGCCGCGGGGGGCCTGGCGCTCGGGCTGCACCCGGGGGGCGCGCAGGGCGGCGCGGGCCTCCCGGCGCAGGCGGCGCTCTACGGACACCCGGTCTACGGCTACTCGGCGGCGGCGGCGGCGGCCGCGCTGGCCGGCCAGCACCCGGCGCTCTCCTACTCGTACCCGCAGGTGCCGGGCGCGCACCCCGCGGACCCCATCAAGCTGGGCGCCGGCACCTTCCAGCTGGACCAGTGGCTGCGCACGTCCACCGCAGGCATGATTCTGCCCAAGATGCCGGACTTCGGCTGTGAGTACCCCGCCGTCCGCGCGCAGCCTCTCCTCCCCCGGCCGCGGCCCCCGGCCCCGCACAGCCTCGCACTCCCCCCGGCCCCCGGGCCCGCGCAGCCTCTCCTCCCTCGGCCGCGGCCTCCGGGCCCCGCGCAGCCTCGCCCTCCGCCGGCCCCGGCCGACACGGCTCCACGGCCCGCCTGGGAGGCCTTGCGCGGGCTGGGCGGATCGTTAAAATGGCCACGCGCAGGCCTTGCCTTCTCTTCCTCTCCTCACGGGAAGGGCCGGCGCGAGGTGGGAGACCGACATCTAATGATTAACCTGCGGCCTAGAGGAGGAAGTGGCGGGGAAGGCGCGCTGAGCGGGGCCGGGCGGGGCGCGCCGGGCCGGGGTCACCAAAGCCAGGGGCTCAGCGCTGGGGAAACAACTAGGCAGGTTCCCCGCCAGGGGCTCCAGGGAAAAGCCTCCGTCCTCTGGAGAGACTGGAGGAACGGACTGCGCCCAGGGCCGCAGAGCCAACGCCTGGCCATGCCTTGGCTTCTGCCAAAGCAGGTGCCCCAGGAAGGGCGTCCTGGCCGCGAGCGGCATCCAGGAGGCCCCCGTTTGAGCCCTGGCTTGCAGGGACTCCAAGCAGCAGGTGTCTGCCTGGGAAATCTGAGTGCCCAGAGGGGCACAGAGCTCCTCCCCAGGGTGGAACCAGGGGGACCCAGCCGCCCGCAGGAAGAGGCCCGGGCGCAGGGAACCTCCCGCCAGCCAGGCCGGACACCTCCTGGAGGCCCGGCGGGAGCAGGCTTTCCTGGGACACAGGTGCGTGCGGCGCCCGGGCCCTGCCTCTCTCCTCAGCCAGCCACCAGAGTAGAAGATGTCCACGGCTTTAGGGTTTCAGCTGCCAAACACCCAAACAAAGAGACCCCATTGTTTCCGTCTGGGTGGATTTGTTTAGACTGGGGCAGTGCAGACACCCCAGAGGAAAAAGCAAGAAGGAAAACAGAAATAAACACTTGCCGGGATCTCAGGGTCCTCTGCGAGGCGCCGCGGTTGTGACTAAACAGGAAAGCTAGGACCCCGGAGGGCCGGTGAGGTCGTGGGTGGGTGAGGGAATGCCAGCCCGCGCTATTTGCCCCAAACCACAGGGGCTCTTCCCCGCGTGGCTCGAAGAAGGCCCTCAGCGCGCCCATCCTTCCATCCTTTTCCGGGGAGACTCAGCCCTCTTGACCCCAAAAGCTGGTTGAATAGCTCAGACATAAGCTCAGAAACCCGAGGCGCTCTGAGCCTAGCCGCAGAGCCCAACAAACCCCTGGGGTGGGAAACCACTAGCGGCTCCTTGTTACTCGGCCTGCGGTGGGAGGGTGCATGGGGTGCAGAGTAACCCACGTGCTTGCACCCCCAGGCCCGAGGGGCTGGGTGCGCATCGCAGGAGGCCGCTGGAGAGGCCGGCCGCCTCCAGCCTCCACGCAGGTGTTGTAAGGGCCAGGGCCGCGCAGACTTTTCTGGGATCCACGTGGAACCCCGGGTCACTCAAAACTGATTCCTCACCAGATTTCCCATGTTAGACGAATGACAGGCGGTGTGGAAGCGGGACCTGGGCCTGGCTCCCGAAGGGCAGAGCGGAGGAGGGACGCGCGCGGCCTTCTCTTCCACCCGGGAAAGGCCGCGGCTTCCCACTGCCGCCTCCCCGAGCCTCCCACGGAGCCGCGTTTTCATTAGCGTTCCAGCCTATTGTCGCGTGGGGAATTCGGGCCTTGTTTAACTAAAGCAGGGGGCGTGGGCCTCCCTGTAAAGCCAATCGCCCAGCTCCCCCCGGGCGGCCGCCGGGTCCCTCCTTTCTTCCTCTCCTTCCTCCTTCCTTTTATTGTCGGGCACTTGTCAGCCTCCTGGGAAATCAAGGGAAGTCTCGTTTTTGAGGTCGTAAACCCTCTGTGATGTAACCGAGCCAAGTTGTGTAAATAAAGCCGCACCGGCTTTAGAACGCGGGGCCGGATCCGCCCCCCTCCGCCTTCAATTTGGGTAATGGGAGTTGTCCGGGGAGGTTTCCCGGCGCGGGGCGGGGCGCGGGGCGGGAGGGGCGCTGAGAGCGCGCGTGTAACCGCTCCGGCCCCACAGCCTCTGCGGCCCCGAGCGGGCCTCCCCCCCTCCACGTCTCCGTCTGCTTTAAGGAGGCGGGGGTGGGGGCGACTCTGGGGGGCTGGCCCCAGACCGTGCGCGAAGCCGGGAACGTTCGCGGGCGGACGGCGGCCTTCTTTAAGCCAGCCTGGCCACGCACAAGAAGACTGACTCTCGTGGACCCCAAGCCTTCCCATTCCACTTGGGTCAGGCCCCTTCCCCGGGGAGTGGGTCCTGGAGGCCGGCCGCAGCGGACCGTGCGGGGGACCTGCGGGGGACCTGCGGGGTGTGGCGGGAGGCCTCCCGGCCGCTGAAGCCTCTCCTGCTGCCTCCCGCAGCCCAGGCGCAGTCGGGCCTCCTGGGGAAGTGCCGCCGGCCGCGCACCGCCTTCACCAGCCAGCAGCTGCTGGAGCTGGAGCACCAGTTCAAGCTCAACAAGTACCTGTCGCGGCCCAAGCGCTTCGAGGTGGCCACGTCGCTCATGCTCACCGAGACCCAGGTACCGCCCGGGGGCGCGGCTTCCCCCGCCGGGCGTCCGCATGGGGTCCCTGCCCGGCCCGGCCGCGCGCGGGGCTTGGCGTCCCCGACCCTCGGACCCGAGCCTGGCGTGGGGCGGGGAGCGAAGCAAGTCGGGCGTCCGGTCCGCGGGCGGCGGAGGCCTCGGGGCTGGGTGGCGCGGGCTGGGGACCGGGGCGCCCGTCAGGCCCGGGCCGGCTCTCACCGCACCCGCGCCCGCAGGTGAAGATCTGGTTCCAGAACCGCCGGATGAAGTGGAAGCGGAGCAAGAAGGCCAAGGAGCAGGCGGCGCACGAGGCGGAGAAGCAGAAGGGCGGCGGCGGGGGCGCCGGCCAGGGCGGCGCGGACGGGCCGGGCGCGGACGAGGCGCTGGCGCCGCCGGCGGCCGGGGACAAGGCGGGCGGCCGCCGCCTGCGGGACTTGAGGGACAGTGACCCCGACGAGGACGAGGACGACGACGAGGACGACCCTTTCCCCTACAGCCACGGCGCGGGCGCCCTCGCGGCCTCCTCGGGCTGCTCCTCCGAGGACGACTCCCCGCCGCCGCGGCCCGCGGGGCCCGGGCACCCGACCCCGGCCCCGTAGGCGGCCCCGGCCCCGACCCCACAGTGTTACACGACCTGCAGACTTGAAGCCTCCCCGGCCCCGCCGCGACCCCGCGGGAGGAGCGGCGACGCGGGAGTGGGGAGCGCGGCGGGGGCCCGCGCCGCCTTTATTTTTGTACATTGTATTTATATGGAGGCCGCCCGCGTGCATGCCGAGCCCCGCCGCCGCCGGCGCGGGCGCAATAAACCGCTCCGCTCTCTTCCGACCGCCGCCAGCGCGCGTACTTGGGCTGGGCCGGGGCGCGCGGCCGGGGCGGGGGGGAGTCGGGCGCGCGCGGCGGGGAGGGGGGTCGGGGGCGCGCGCGGCCGGGGCGGGGGGGGGTCGGGGGCCGGGGCGGGGGGGGGGGTCGGGGGCGCGCGGCCGGGGCGGGGGGGGGTCGGGGGCGCGCGGCCGGGGCGGGGGGGAGGTCGGGGGCGCGCGGCCGGGGGGGTCGGGGGCGCGCGCGGGCGGGGCGGGGAGGGGTCGGGGGCGCGCGCGGGCGGGGCGGGGGGGAGTCGGGGGCGCGCGGTCGGGTCGGGGGAGGGGTCGGGGGCGCGCGCGGCCGGGGCGGGGGGGGGGGGTCGAGGGCGCGCGGCCGGGGCGGGGGGGGGTCGGGGGCGCGCGCGGCCGGGGCGGGGGAGGGGTCGGGGGGGCGCGCGCGGCCGGGGCGGGGGAGGGTCGAGGGCGCGCGGCCGGGGCGGGGGGGGGCGGGGGCGCCGGGCTCGCACCCGGGGCTCAGCCCTGGACTCCGGGTTTGGCCGCCCTTCTCGCTGGGATCCGCCCTGGGCCCGCAGGAGCAGCAGGAGTTCGGAGGTCGATGGCGCGCAGCCCTCCGTGCGGGGCCGCGGGCCGGGCGTGCGGGGCCGCGCGGGCGCTGTCCCTCGGTCATGACCCTCGCCGGCCGCGCCCGTCCCCACGGCCGCCCGCCCGCCCAAAGCGCCCGTGAAAGGGGAAAGGAAAGGGGTCCCCGTTGGCTGGTCACTTTCTGGGCCACACCTGGGCTTTAGTGAGCAGTGCCCCCCCCCCCTGCTCTGCCCTCCCTCCTCCTGCTGCTCTGTCCCTCCCCCTCCCATCAGTGGGGCAGCACCCTGGCCCCTTCCCTAAAATCCACCCTGGGAGCTGGGGCCCTGTCCAAAGGTGTTTGGGGATCCTGGCGCAGGGTTAACAAGGGAGGGGGAGGGGAGGGAGAGGAGGAGGAGGAGATGATGATGATGATGGTGGTGATGGTGATGATGGTGGTGTTGGTGGTGGTGGTGATGATGATGATGGTGGTGATGGTGGTGATGGTGATGATGGTGGTGTTGGTGGTGGTGATGATGATGATGATGGTGGTGATGGTGGTGGTGATGATGGTGGTAGTGATGGTGGTGGTGATGATGATGATGGTGGTGATGATGATGATGATGGTGGTGATGGTGGTGATGATGATGGTGGTGGTGATGGTGGTGGTGATGATGATGATGGTGGTGATGATGATGATGGTGATGGTGGTGGTGGTGGTGATGATGATGGTGGTGATGGTGATGATGATGATGATGGTGGTGGTGATGGTGGTGGTGATGGTGATGGTGGTGGTGTTGGTGGTGGTGATGATGGTGGTGATGGTGGTGGTGGTGATGGTGGTGGTGATGGTGATGGTGGTGATGGTGATGATGATGGTGGTGATGGTGATGGTGGTGATGATGATGGTGATGGTGGTGGTGGTGGTGATGATGGTGATGGTGGTGGTGATGGTGATGATGATGGTGGTGGTGATGATGATGGTGATGGTGATGGTGGTGATGATGATGATGATGGTGGTGGTGGTGATGGTGGTGATGGTGATGATGATGGTGGTGATGATGATGATGATGGTGGTGGTGATGGTGGTGATGATGATGGTGATGGTGGTGATGATGATGATGGTGGTGATGATGATGATGGTGATAGTGGTGATGATGATGATGGTGATGGTGGTAGTGATGGTGGTGGTGCTGCTTTAGGGGGAAGATCTGCAACCGGGATATTTTTCAGATCTCGAACACGGCGAAATTCCGCCCGAAGCGGCTCTCCCTCCTGGGCCCACACCTGGGGGTCATTCGGGCAGCGGCCAGCTCCTGTACGACCTGGCGGAACTCGGTGCCCGGGCCCAGCGGGTGTCCCCTGGAGGGCAGGACCCTTTCTGGGAGGAGGCTGCGGCCCGAGGCCTGCGCCACCAGCGGCTCCGTGCGGCGTGAATCTCACGAGTCAGTGGAATGATCACCGTTCCAGCCGCCACCCGCTCCGCCCAAGCTGCTGCAGCAGGTTTACATACAATCCCGGGCACCAGGGACTGGGCCTCCCGGCGGACGTCACGGCTGACGTCACGGCGGGCTCCGTCTCCAGTACCGTCTCGGGGTCGCTGGGCTTCCCACCGCACCAGGCCTCCCGTGACCCCAAGGCCCTCAAGACCTGGTCGAGGCCCCAGCTAGCTGGCTGGCCCTGAGGACAGGAGCTGGACACATTGTTTCCAGACAGACCCATGGTGTCCCCAGGAAGCCCCCAGTCCCGGGGAGCAGCGGCCCGCCCCCCCCCCCCCCCCCGCCGCTGGCCCCCCCCCCCTGGCCTGGCTGCCCAGAGGGCCTGTCCTCTTTCCAGCCGCTTTCTTGGGTCTCAAAAATGTATGTGGACAAAGTCCTCTGGTGACCGGAGACCACAGTGGATGGCAGTCACCTCTGCAGCCCCTGTGAGCCCCAGCAGTAGTGAGGAGGCCAGAAAGGAGCCAGGCGGGTTCCACCCCAGACAGGCCGGGGAAGCGGAGGAAAGGGTCCCGGCAAGGGCGAGGGAGGAGCGGGCAAATGGCACGCGGCCGCGCGGAAACCCCGCCACTGCCAGGGCTCGGCCGGCCTGGACGGACCGGCCAGCCTCGGACGGACCCGGCGCCGGGCCCGCAGAGCCACAGCCAGCCACAACCAGAGCCAAGCGCCTGACCCGCGCAGTGCAACGGCGGCGCCCCGCCAACCCGTGATGGCAGCAGCCCAGCCACGGGGCGGACACCCCTGAAACCGCCGGGCACACACCCGTCAGCCGGCGCGCACACGTGCACACCAGTGCACACACGTGGTGGGACCCCACACCCATCCTGATGGCGCGCGCGTGCGCGCACAGAGGCGCGCGCGCACACAGAGGCGGACACGGAGCACACAGAGGCGCGTGCACACAGGCGGACACGGAGCACACAGGCGCGTGCGCACAGAGGCGCGCGCACACAGGCGGACACGGAGCACACAGAGGCGCGTGCGCACAGAGGCGCGCGCACACAGGCGGACACGGAGCGCACAGAGGCGCGCGTGCTCCGGCCACACACTAAAGCCATAGCAGGAGCTGGGCGGGCTGAGGCTTCGGGCGTCCTGCGCGGCTGGCGGGGACAGTGGGTCGGTTCTGGAGAACGCCCGGAGGGCTTGGCTCTGAGGTCGCGGTCGTTCTGGGGCCGCACCCCGCCGCTCACGGACGCCCGTTGACCTCAAACGCAGGCGATTCCTGCGGCCCAGAGGCCCGAGGGCCGGTGCGGCCCAACTTCAGCCGGGAGGCTCCGTTTAGACCTCAAACCGCCGGGACAGAAAGCCGAGGCTGCCGGGCCGGGGACGGGGGGCGTCGGGGCTTCCCGGGGATGGAGGTGGGAAAGTTCTAGAGCGCGGTGGCCTAACACACCACCGACAGTTGAAGGCGGAGGCACTGCACACCGATAGCCCCGGGCCCTGGAGGCCGGGGAGGGGTCCGGGGTCAGGGCGGCCCGGGGAGAGGGCCCGGGGAGGGGTCCGGGGGTCAGGGCGGCCCGGGGAGAGGGCCCGGGGAGGGTTCCGAGGATCAGGGCGGCCGGGGAGGGGGGTCCGGGGGTCAGGGCGGCCCGGGGAGGGGGCCCGGGGAGGGGTCCGGGGGTCAGGGCGGCCGGGGAGGGGTCTGGGGGTCAGGGCGGCCAGCGCGGGCGTAGGGGAGGGGGCAGAGGCAAAACAGAAAAGGAGGCCCGACGGGTGTGCAGCCCTGCGGCCTCCCCTGGCCTCAGCCCTCCTCCCTTTCCTGGCTGGGCCCCGGGCCTCCGCTTCCCCTCCTCCATCCCCCCCTCCTCTTCCCCTCTGCCCGGTTCTCCGTCCGGGCGGGACCCGCGGCCCGCGCCTCCGCGGGGCGGGCTGGGGTCGGTCCCGGTCGGTCCTCTGCCCAGGGCCGCGGGGCCGGGGTCAGAGCCCCGCCCGCGCCCCCCAAAACGAAGCCCCGCCGAGGCGCGGCGCGGGGCTGGGCTCGCGTTTCCGTCGGATCCACGGCGACTTTCCCTGGTCGGGCGCCCGGTTCAGGGACCCCGCGCCGGTGTCCACGCCCGTGTCCCCCCCCCAGCCTCCGCCGGACCCCGCGCCCGTGTCCCCCCCCCCAGCCTCCGCCGGACCCCGCGCCCGTGTCCCCCCCCCCAGCCTCCGCCAGACCCCGCGCCCGTGTCCCCCCCCCAGCCTCCGCCGGACCCCGCGCCCGTGTCCACGCCCCCCAGCCTCCGCCGGATCCCGCGCCCATCCCGCGCCCGTGTTCACGCCCCCCAGCCTCCGCCGGATCCCGCGCCCGTGTCCCCCCCCCCCAGCCTCCGCCGGACCCCGCGCCCGTGTCCACGCCCCCCCAGCCTCCGCCGGATCCCGCGCCCGTGTCCACGCCCCCCAGCCTCCGCCGGATCCCGCGCCCGTGTCCCCCCCCCCAGCCTCCGCCGGACCCCGCGCCCGTGTCCCCCCCCCAGCCTCCGCCGGACCCCGCGCCCGTGTCCACGCCCCCCAGCCTCCGCCGGACCCCCGCGCCCGTGTCCGCGCCCCCCAGCCTCCGCCGGATCCCGCGCCCGTGTCGGCGCCCCGCCCGCCTCCGCCCGCGTCCCGTGTCCGTGCCCCTCCTCCTGCGCCCGGTGCCGCCCCCCCGGCCCCGCGCCGACCCCGCATTCCGCCGCACGCCCGCCGCCCTCGCTGGACGCCGCCATTGTCCCGGGACAAAGCGCGCGGTTTGCCCAGCTGGGG